GCTGCTGCTGCTGCGTGCTGCTGTTCCGTGTTTGTTTTTTTTTTCTCTTTTATATTATAAATAGTAATTGTATTATTTAAATAGTTTTTGTATTTATAATATTAGAGTTTAATTAAACAAATAAAAAACCCATTTCCTTCTGCTGCTGCTGCAGCAGCTGCAGCAGCAACAGACGGCAGCAGCAAACTGCTGCAGCTCTGCTGCTGCAGCATCGGTGTGTCTGTTTCGTTTTCTTTTTTTCTTTTTTTTATATTTTCTTCTACGAGTTTAATGAATTAAAATATATAAAAAGTAAACAAAAACAATCATTTTGTTTTCTTATCTCTCACCAGCAACCAGAAGAAACCCCTAGACAGCAGCAGCAGCAACAGCAGCAGCAGCAGCAGCAGCAGCAGCAACAGCTGGTTAGTGCCGCTTTCTCGCTCTGAAGCAAAACAAAAAACTAAACAAAACAACAAACCCTAAAACACATAAACCCTAAACACGCATGCAGGGGGCCCCCAGCAGCCTCCTCCCCCTAAAATGAGCGGGGGCCCCCTACCACCTCGGTCGGCGGTGCTAGCTGCAGCAGCAGCAGCAGCAGCAACAGCAGCAGCAGCAGCAGCAGGGGGCCCCCAGGGGCCCCAGGGGCCCCCCTCCTCAACTCCAGACCAAACTGGCTCCTCTAAAAGACGGAGGAAACACGAAGCAGCGGAGACACCACCAACAGCAGCAGCAGCAGCAGCAGCAGCAGCAGCAACGAGAACAGCAGCAGCAGCAGCAGCAGCAGATGGCTTGCTGCCGCGCAGCGTCCTCAGTGATGCGCTGATACAGCAGGTAACCAACTGCCCTGACAGAGTCCCCAGGATCGAAGTAAAACTCCGCAGCAGCAGCAGCAGCAGCAGCAGCAGCAACAGCAGCAGCAGCAGCAGCAGCAGCAGCTTCAGCTGTATAATTACTTATCCCACCGTCCCCCCCTCCGTTGGCATCGCCGTATCGAAGGGGCCCCTCATCACTGATGCAGCAGCAGAAGGCCCCTACAGCAGCAGCAGCAGCAGCAGCAGCAGCAGCAGCAGAAGCAGCAGCAACTGCAGCAGCAGCACCACCAGCAGCAGCTCCTTGAACCGAAAGGATTCCGAGGCAACTGGCTCAGACCCCGCCGCTGGTTCTGCTGCTGCTCCTGCTGCTGCTCCTGCTGCAGCAGCAGCAGAAGAAGGAACAGCAGCAGCAGCAGCAGCAGAAGAAGAAGAAGCAGCAGCAGCAGCAGCAGCAGCAGCAGCAGCAGCAGCAGCAAGGTATCATCTGGCGCTTGAGGTCTCAGCAGCAAATGTATCGGAGGCGGCTTTACGGCTCCCCAGAGTTTCAATGAGTATAGAAACTGCAGCAGCAGATACAGCAGCAGCAGCAGCAGCAGCAGCAGCAGCAGCAGAAACAGCAGCAGCAGCAGCAACAGAAACAGCAGCAGCAGCAGCAGCAGATGAGTGCCAGCTCAGCAGCAGAAAGACAAAGAGGAGACAACAAAATAAAAAAGAAGAAACAAAATATCCATCATACAAATACATAAACCCTACGCAGCATCTATGGGGGCCCCTGGGGGGCCCCCCCCCGTACCCGGGGGGCCCCCTGAAGGGGGGCCCCCTGCTGGTGCTGCTGGGGGGCCCCTCGGGCAGCGGTAAGAGCACCATGCTGCCGCTGCTGCTGCACCTGCTGTCTAATACTTTCTCCTTCAGCAGCAGCAGCAGCAGCAGCAGCAGCAGAAGCAGCAGCAGCAGCAGCAGCGGTAGCAGCAGGGAGGGGGGGGGCCCATCTTATTTGCTGCTATCAACAGATGCCCTGAGGCAAGTGCTGCGTACAGCTGCTGCTGCTGCTCCTGCTGCTGCTGCTCCTGCTGCTGCTGCTGCTGCTGCTGCTGCTGCTCCTGCTGCTGCTGCTGCTGCTGCTGCTTCAGGGGCCCCCCAGGATACCCTGATTCGCGATTTGTTGTTCAGCAGCACATACAAACTGAAGCACGTTGCAGCGCAGCAGCTGCAGCAAGCAGCAGCAGCAGCAGCAGCAGCAGCAGCAGCAACAGCAGCAACAGCAGCAGCAGCAGGAGCAGGAGCTAAACACGGGTCCAAAGACATCATAAACATGCGTAGAAAAATAAAAACAAATATAAAACAAGACCTAACCCTTCATCAGGGGGGGGGCCCCCATCAACATATATGTTCTTCTTGTGCTGAGGGGGCCCCCTGCTCTTCCCTTTTGGGTCTGCTGCAGCAATCCGTATTAATACAAAACCTTATCCTCGAACCCCTCATCGTTTCACTCATGGGGCCCCCTCACAGGGTACAGCGAGGGGCCCCGGGGGGCCCCCCCCCTGGGGGCCCCCCTGGGGGCCCCCCTGGGGGCCCCCCCGCGGGGGAAGAAGACGGGGCCCCTAGGGGGTCTTCTAGGGGGGCCCCCCGTGGGGGGCCCCCCC